TTCAGTCACCTCAGGGTGCCGGCTTTCGAATGAACTTCCATCCGACTGCATGCAAAAGCTACACTCTGTAAAAATAACTACTTAAGTAGCATGAATCTTTCGCATTTATTTTCGATGCCCTAAGAGACCAATTATATTTCATGGACAACATACATAAAAATATTCATTCTCCCGCTCATTCGGTAGATAATTACGTCTTCTTCCAATCTTATATTCGAAGGAAGAATATAATTTGGTTTTCAAAAACCTTTCCGTTTCCCGAATAATTTTGAACCGTCTCTACCGTTACACTTGGATTCAGGTGTTCCAAACTGCAAGCCGTATATTTTTCGCTTACGGAAAACCACACATTTCTCTACGGTACTAAAAGGGGACCATATAGTGTTCATAAAATTTAACAGTGGATTCGATCCATATTGCTAGCTTTACAAGCCACATTGGTAAATGCAGACGCATGACGTTTTATGAACGGCCATTTCACGGTATTTTAAAGTCCCACAATTAGAAACTTTTTAAAACCGAATTATGTCCCTCCGTCGAGTATAAAATTAGAAGAAGACGTAATTTTCTACCGAATGAGCAAAAGAATGAATATTTTTTTGCATGTTTTCCGTGAAATATAATTGGACATTTGGGAGCATCTAAAATCAATGCGAAAAATGCATGCTACATAAGTAGTCATTTTTTACAGAGCGTAGTTTTTGCATAGAGCTGGAAGGACGTTCGTTCGAAAACCGGCACCCTGAGGTGACTGAAATACTTTAGAATTATGTTGCAGGCTGTCTAGTTTTAAAACCCTACTTAATTAATCTTCTTGAAACGAAAACGCATTTCGGAATTTCGGTTGACATCATATGAGTTAGCTCACCTACTGTAAGCCGCCCGCCCACGCGTGCTGCACAAACTCGGTCCGCGCTCATAACAAGAAAAGGGGGGGGGGGAGGATGCGGCTCCTTTGCCAACGGAGCGGGAGTGCCATAGAGGCCACACTGGAAGGCAGCTATGCAGCATGACCTTCCGGCATGAGGGGGGGGGATCGAATTACCTTATTGACTGGCAGCCGTGATAGGTTCAAGCGGCTCAGCACAGGTACTAGGCTAGTACCTGTGCTGTTAGTATGATATCACCTTACCCTAAAGTATATTACTAGCTGCCTGTCGGCCGTTAATGAATATTACGGGTCACCCGCTGTGGCTGATGGACTTTGGCCCAAATATTCGTGTATGAAATTCCCGGTCTGAGCCTATAGAACTTGAATAAACTGATCTACTCCAACTTCGTAGATAATTTCTGCGGAACTTAAAAAGCGACTATTTGAGGAGTCCCCAGACTCGACTGACCATTCCAGTTATCAGTAATGCCGTGTAGGTCGCGGAACTTTCAACCAATTGCTGCAGCTCGGAGTTCAAGGGTCCATTAATACCCAATTGGAAAATTTTTAGAGAGACCTAGATGGAGACTACAGGAAGGCTAGCGAAGAGTCCTTTCAATAAAGGGGGTGGTGCTAACCATTGATTTATTGGTTAAAGAAACCAATTATTGGTTCGCAGTTCCTGACAGGGTAACCATTACTCTGTCAGACAAAGGACATTGTGGTTGTCAGGACCAGAAGGGTTCGTGACAAGTATCTTGGTTTCCGGGAGAAGCTGTCTCGAAATCGGACCCTAAACATGAATCAAACCTCTGCCTTGTATTGATGACCACGACCTTTGACCCCTAGGTCAAGGACCATTCATAGAGCAGAGA